TTATTTTACCATAATGAGAAAAAAACAGTTCAATGCTGGATTTTCACCCATCTTCCTCATATTATAGGTCAGGTTGCTCTTAGAGCAGCACAGCTTTAATTAGACTAGCTCTACTACTAAAACTTTTTCTTATCCTCTGCTTTATTCTTCTTGTCTTAACATAAAATACCTCTCTCCCTATATAGGTCACTATCATGTCTATAGATCCTCCAGATATGGAAAGATATTTTTCTGCATTCATGTTCCCATTTACTTTAAGAAGACTCTTCACCTTATGTTAAAAAGCATTCCCATGCTGTGATGCTGATACCGCCATGCTTCACAGTAGAGAGAGTGTGTTTCACCTTCTTCACTTGGTGTTACACAAACAGGATAAATAACCAAAAATCTTTTTTTTTTTCGAGCATCCAAACAAAAGTTTTTGTGTGTCCCTCCTATCTGCATCTTACCTTTTCAAGTCTTTCAAAGTGGTTTGTAGTTTGTGATGTTAACCAGTTCCAGGCAGATTCTTACTTCAGTGTTTTTTCTGTTTCCAAATGATAGATTTAACTAAACTCAGACGCAATCCTCACCTTTTATTCAGCATATGATTTACAATTTTTACAGTCTGTCCTCTAATTTGCTTGGTGTGTTCCTTTACCTTCATGCTGTACTCAAAGCTGACTGCTGAACCTAAGACTGGACCTCACAGACAGGTTTATATTTTATAATCTGAACCACATCAGCATCTCTTAGGTAACCTCAGTTTCGTAAAGTGTAAAAATAAGAGTTTGCATGTGTTTTCTGATGCTATATCATTAAACGTAACTGGCTTGTAACAGTGCTTCAGTACGCTGAAGCACTGTTGAACAAGTTAAGTCACCTTAAAGATATGAGTATTTATGCAAACGTTACTTTTTGCATTTTTTTTTTTATTAGACATTAGTAAAAAGCTTTGTTTGCTCTGACAGTAAAACATATTTCATTTTAAATTTTTTTCATATAAAATACTGTTTATCCAATTTACAGATGTACTAAAATGGTTGAATATGTCATTTTTTGAAATGGGAATTGAAATCATAGTCACTGCATGTAGTCATTGTTACTGACTTTGTTCCCACATTAGGCTTTTTTGAAAAGGAGGTTAATTTCTGAAAAATGTAGCAAATTACATCACTAATCATGATGGATTTTCAAGCCCAGCTTTCTGACCTGGTTATACTAGTTTTAGCAGATTTATCTTAAGAGCTACACAAAGATGAAATGAAAGCCTGCTGGAAGCTCTCCATAATATTAGGAGTCAATCCAATGTCAAACTGAGGGAGAGATCAGGACAAACACAAAATGATATATCATGGACTTTTTAAAATAATTTTGTACCTCAGTTTTACTTTATAGCTCTGATATATTTTTTATATATATATATTTTTTTAAGTGTTCCAGGACAGAAGTTTAACTTATTTGCAGAAAAATCAGCCTTTGTCTTATTTACTCTCTCTGTGTTGAAGAAGCCTTGTCAAGGAACCTTATAAAAAGTTTTGCATGATCAGCAGACATGAGGATTGTTCTGTGCCATCTTTCATCATTACATATTACCAAGGTGGAAACTTGAACGATGGTCATTATAATAAACATTACATACTGTTTAATTTCTTCTGCCTCTATAGGAAAGAGCCTAAGAATATCAGTAATAAGACTGTGCACTGATATGTCCACCAACTGGTCGGCCAGAGCTGAATAATTCTGCAGCTTTAGCTCCACCAGTAAATACCACCTTTCATATTGCATTCCGAGCGTAACTTGTGTCTTACCCTCTCGGCATCCAAATTCTTGCCCTTTTTCACTCTTGATGTTAGACTTTTCCTCTTTCTTTCATCACTTGGCTGCATTGCTTCTCCCATAAACATAATATACGTCTATGCCTTCATTATTTAAGGTACAGTAGCCATTATTTAAGGTAGGCAACATTTTACCTCCAGGGATTTAATTCAATTCAGTTCCAAAATGCGGCATTAATTTTGAAGGAATTAATCTGTGGCGGTTTGTCTTGCATCGGATCCGGAGAAGCCTTTCACTGAAGACATTCTGTTGGTCTTAAACAATCGTCTGAAGAGGATGTTTACAGTTGTGCATGATGTTTTTCCTTGTATGAAGATTTTTCAGTGTGAAATCATCAGTGGAAGTTCTGGAAAAGTTCATAGACCAGAGCCAGCCTTCTTTATCACCTTGTTGAGCTTCTTTGAGTCAAATGATCTGATGCTGTGAACTCAGCAGATGATGGGAGAAGACATCTGACTCTCCACAGCAGACTTAAAGACAATATGCTCATATTGCTGCAAACTCTGATATATATATGTATAGGAGGTACAGTCGGTTCTGTCCGTTCTTATAGACAACTATACAGTTGCACACAGATGAGTTTTTTTTTCCCAGGTGAACACCAAGGGATTCACACTCCTCCAACACCTCCACTTCTTTCACTGTGACATTCATTTTTGTTTCTCCTGAAATTTACAATCATCTCCATTGTTTTGTTCTAAATTGGAGCCAGAGCAGTAATAGTATACGCACACAACATCTAATAAGTCACATTTGTAATAGATGAAAAAATGCGAAAAGATTCTGCTAAATGCAACAGATTCAAATAAAGAAAAGTGATTCAGTTCTTTTAATGGTGGATTGTATTAAAAGATAAATATTTGCAGAAAATACAAACAAGCCAAAGGTGTAATAGAAGCTTTCAGGCGAACAAAATAATAAAGAAAACCAAATAGTTATTTTGTTACCTTAACCCTGCTGGGGTTGTCATTTCAACTTTCCACAGCTATCAATGACTCTCTTCTTCAGGATAGAATACATATGATGTTGATTATCTAGTTGGTTTTACATTGTTTTAGAAATGTATTTTTTTTATAATTATTAATTTAAAAATCTGAATGTAAATTCTTTTTTTATTTTTTTGTCAATGCATTAACCTTTTAGTGCACAAAACTTTGACAAAACTTTAAATTACCCCTGTAGTATTTTTTTTTAGCCACATGCAGCAGACCTGATTACAAGCCTATCTCAGCAATTCATAAAGTGAGAATATAAAGTAGGCAAAATAGTCGTGTTGTCTACCAAAAGTACTCTGAAAATATTTAAAGAAACCAGAGTAACACCAGCAGCTCATTATGGTTTGTAGAGATTGCTGTTTATGATTCAGTAATAAGAAGACATGGAATAAAATATGAATCAATTTTAGATTTGCTGTAACAGATTGATCCCGAACATCTGAAACTTACCTGGTTGACCTGGTTGCTTGGCTTTTAACCAACACCTCTATACTTGAGCCGAGCTATTCACTGTCCATTTTACAATCAATAAACTTCTTTGTTTTTATAATTTTTTTTACTTTCAATGGTCTGTCCCCATGCTATCTCTAATCTTCATGTTTTCTATAATATTCCTCTTGAGTTCTGCTTCTTTATAAAGTGCCGATTCACAGCAGATCATCTTAAGGCACTTTACAGAGACTGCTTTAATTCCACGCTGCAAGATCAAGGCCAGCAACCCAACTTCGTTTAGATGTTCAATCAAACACAGACTCATGAATCTTTACATCTAAGCATAGGACCTACAGTACTGTATCAGACAGGCTTTTACTACCAAGTGACTTGGTGGCGATATAACTTACATGCAAAATAATGATACATGAAAGACAACTCAGTCCAACCTCCTCAACTTAACAGCAGCTTTACAAAATACTTTAGCTATGTAAATACTTTTGCAGTTTTTTGCTAGAACCCATAACTAAAACAATACTACATTTGAGTACGTATTCCTGTAAAACAATCAAGAGAAAAAGTGGCAACCTTTGTTGTTAATTGTAGCAGCTGTATTTTATGCTGATGTCAATGCTGTGTTAATATTAGCATATACTGTAGAAACAATTTTTGCAACCGCTATGTGTTCCTAGTTTCCAGAAAATATCAAGGTTTTAAAAATGAGACTAGAGGTAAGCTGTTGCAATATGAAGATCAGATGCTCTAAGCTACTGTATTGATGCTTCATTAATTCTGTTTGACAACAGCTCCCCCTGCAGGCGTTCTTCCACATGTCTGGATTAGATGGCATTGCTTCGCTGCACCTGAAATGTCCATGAATAGCAGTAAGAACCTCACTATAGGGATGCAACCAGTGACGTCTGAATAGAGTTTACTCACAGAAAAAGAGGGATTTTTATATTAAATCCAAAATGTTTATATTGTTACTACAGTTTTTGCTTAGCTACTGCTGTGAGTGTTTTTCGCTCAGAAAATTGCAATCGAAATACTCAAGGTAACTTTTGTTATTCAATTAAGTAATTCGTTTATGATTATTTCAATGGTAGTATTTTAATTGTAATGAATCATTGGTTTAAGTCCTATTTGTTTTAAATAATCCTCTGAATTTGTCAACAGGTTGTTTTTTCTCTAGAAGTAATATTATTGTTTTGAAATGGCGCAGCAAGTGTCACAGACCTAATAAGTCAGGAAAGGAACCAAAATATTAAGGTGATGACAAAAAGACCATTCAACCTTTAGGAATTAAAGCTTTTTATCAAAGATGAATTGTTATAAAACAGCGGTGGGCATGCAAAAAGCGAAGATGGAATTTGCTCTGATACTAAATCATTTAATTTATTGTTAAAAAGGGGGACACATTTATGTTTTTATCAACAGTCAGCCTTTGGAAATCTGTTTAGAAGGTACAAATACTTTACATTTAGCCAGCATTTCTGCATTTATATATATCTTCTATTTTTCTGATGTAATACTCCAATACTAAATGCCATGTTTTTTTTTTTTGCAGTAAACAGAAACTCACCCTAATTAAGGAAAATACTGTAATGACTTGAATCAGCATGTGTGTAACTAATCTTTATTGTTTCACTTAATTTAATTACTTAAATAAAATGACTTTTTAAAAGCATATTTTTTTTGGAATGTACATTTTTAATTAAATGTGAAGAGTCATTGAAATGTTCCTTAAATTTTACCCCTGTTTTACATCATTCAATTATTCTAAGAAATTCCCGGCAAACTTTCTATCAGAAAACAAATTATTGGTTGACTAAAAATTGGCTTAATAATAGAAACACTTCTTGCTTGTATTAATACTGTGTCTGCATATGTGCAATGATTAAGAAATGTGGAAGATTGTTAGGTCTAGTTGATTACCAATTTGCACTGCTATAAATTACTTGTCAATCAGTGTTTACACCCTGTAAGGAGAGATCCGGGTCTCTGTGAGACACCAATAGAATCCCCTTAAGGTTACCCTCAGTCCTCCAAACAATCACAATCACCAAGGTCTGATGTAAGTGCTTAAAAATCCAAGCTCAGTTTAATGATTTCTTTTTTTTATATATATAATCATATATTATTCCTACAAATACATAGTTTTCAGCACTTTGAAAAACGTTCACTTTCCTTAGTAAACTAAGGAAGCTAGAAATATCCTACAGTGAAAAAAAGACAAAACATAGTTGACGAAAACAAACAAATCAGATGTGAAAACTAAAAAAAAAAGAAAAAAAAAAGAACAACATCCTGTACAAACACGATGGCCCAATAATTTAAGAAAATAGTGTCTCTAAAACGTTCATATTGCTTTGTATCTCCACTGGCCCGTTTCGCCCTGTGCAACACCAGGCAGTTCTGTCCGCGGCCACAAGGGGCATCAAATCCCAAATGCTGATGTTGCTCCCAGAGGTTAGGGGTCAAGCCACTGGGCGTCGCAGAGGAGAAACAGTCTCATTTGTCGTTTCAGGTGGTCCTTTCTTCTCTAGCTGTTTTGGCAGTAACAATACAAAAACGAGGGATGGTCACACTACCACATAACCGTGCTCCTCATGAAGAATGGTTTTACTGTTTGTTGTAGTTTTACCATTATTACTTTCTACAGCATTATTACTAGAGCTATCACCATCACAGATACACAGTGTGCATCATGTGTTTGCGTGTGTGGAGGGTTTGTCCAAGTCCGTGTATGTATGTGTGTGATGGGAGAGTTCATGTTCAGTGCTCGGAGCTTGTTTTCTCCAAGGAGAAACTGGGAAGAGTCAATAGCTTGGAGCTAGGATTGGGATTTGGCGAGCCCCCATCCTGGACTGAGACCTCTCCCAGTCCCAGGTCGATCGAGTCCTTGGACTCGTTAGAGGGTGCTCTTCTTCTCAGACATGTGTCCCTGCTGGGCAAAGGAGGGGGCATTCCTAATCCCCCCAGTGCCATGCCACCGAGGCTTGGGTACAGGCCAGACTGGGTTTCAAGTTCATCAGGTGGGTCAATAGATATGCAGGGTGGGCTCATTTTCTTCTTGTGTCGGGGGGAAGGCAGGGGGGCCTTGGCGGGAATCAGCAGGTTGTCAGACTGGGATATGGAGCCAGAAGAAGTGGAGGTTGCAGTGCGCTGTGGGTAGGGGTCCCCCACTGAGCATACTTCTAAAGAGTGGCGGCGTGGATCGTCCAGCCAGGAGTAAGGGCGTGGGCGGGGCAGGAGGGTGCTACGGCCCTGTGTGTCAACACTGTGGAACCTCTTCAGCTGCCTCAAACATGGTCTCCCACTTTCCTCGCCGCCCACATCCTTCACGGCTGTGCTTTCATTTTTCATAAGTCCTCCACAGGTGATGAAGGAAACTTCTTGATCCTCCAAAGCTGCCTCCACCTGCTCTTGTTGCTGCTGCGGTGGCCTGACAGGTAAGGGGGGAGGAGGCACATGGGGGGATGAGGAAGAAGATGCAGATGTGGAGTGGAAGGCCAGGCAGTGCTGGTCATGTTGCTGAGTGTGCACGCTGCGGTGAGGCAAAGGTTTAGAGGGGGTACCCAGTAGGGCAGGTACAGGGCAGAGCGCTGGATGCAGATGAGGCTGGCGATGATGCGAGAAAGAGAAGGAGCGAGAGGTGGAGGAGGTGCATGAAGGTAGGGCCGAAGCTGCAACATTCGTAAGTCCTTCACTACTCTCTTGTTCAATGGAACAAAGGGCCTCCTGAGAATCAGTGGACACTGCAGACTGAAAAACAGGGCATGGAGGGGAGAGGGTGTGCAGTATTTAAGAACAAAATTGGGGTTTATGTCCAATGTAGGGGGTTGGGGTGGGTGGGGGGGGGGGGGGGGG